TAATAATAATAATAATAATAATAAAATAATTATTAAATAATATTAATAATTATAATTATTATTAGGCACACATCTGAAAATCAACAAGGCAAAAAGGACAATTTATTTAATTAGTAACTACAACTTCAATTCGCAAATTCAAATTCTTACAAAAGAGAAAAAAACCTGCTTTAATTCACCTAGAAAAATGTAAATTTCACTAACCTGCTTCAGGAACTGCTTGGCATTGTTGAGAGTGGAAGCACCATATATCACTCGTTTACTAGATGTACCTCCAGCCTTACCCTGCATAAGAAACATTATAGAAAATATTGAAAAATATATTTTTTTAAATAAAGTTTCATCATTTAAAATATAATGTAAAGATTACCTTAGTATAATCAACTAAATTTTGGTACTCTATGTAATTTCCACCACCAACAATAAAAACAATTGCTTCTTGGAAAGGTGTTCTGTTTCTTGGAATTTGTGAACTATCCCCTGTGGCTTTCAGTTGTTTGGGATCAAAATATCGATAATCTTCAGTTTCTTGTGAAGTTTTCATTTCCATTAAATCATCAACAATCCTTGTAACAGGAAGATTCTGCAAAAGCTCTCTCTATTTACTTCACAGTTCTATTTCAATATAAAAAAATGTACAGTAAAAATCAAAAACTTACGTGTTTCTTGACAACTAAATTTTTAACACCTTCCATAACAAAAGATGAACCTTGGGAAACCAGTTTTGAAAACATGCTTACAGTTTTTGTACCCCCACCAACATACTGATTTGGAGTAGCTGCCATTTTGGCATAAGCTCTGCATAAACAAAACAATCACAAAAAATGATAAATGAAATGTCTATCAACTGAAAAGATATTTCAAGTATTTTAAGTAACTTAAATTCTTCTAATAGTAATTGGCTGACTTGATAGCTTCTGCATTTCGACAAAACAGTTTTAAACTTCATGTCAAAGAAAACAAGAAATTTAGTGAACCAGTTCCGAAACAGAATTACAGTACTGAACTTGAAAATTTATTTATACCATTAATTACACTATAGTTAATCAAAAAAACTTTTCTAATGAGATAAGAACAAATTAAAACTATAATGCAATGTAACCCAACACTCACTTCCATCTCTTTATATAAGTCAAGGGCGAAAGATCACAACCAGCATTCTGTAAAGCTGCAGCATAGCGATCACAATCAGCCTATAAAATCATAATTGTTATTGTTAATGTATTCAATGATCTTCCTCTTCTGAAAGCACCATATTAAAATATCAATCTCATTTACAGTCACTCACCTCCGACATTGAATGAGTGCAAATGTAATATATTATAAAAAGTCTCATTTTGTCTTCTGGGGTTCCTGCCTCAGGATCAGTTAAAAGTTCCATTATACTTCTGTCTAATGCAGCTTTGCTCATTACCTTTTCCTCACACTCAAACAGTGTGTCCAAACGACGTGTTTTAATAGCATTCAGTATTGCTAAAACCAATACAAAAATTGATCATTTCAACAAGAGTTGAAGCATGCAATTATGTACAAATACATAATTGTAGAAGAAAACCATGGGAAAGCAAGGGATACAGGGACAAAGTGAGAGTGATGACGTGAGTGAGAATGAGAAAGAGAGAGAAGAGAAAGAATCAGATGAAAAATTGTTAGAGATAAACATGTGCCTGTTTTTAATGACAAAAATATTTTCAAATGAATTATAAAATTATGTCTAAATATCAACCAACTGACATGAACATTTTTAGAAATGACCCAATTTTCTTTTAACGCTAACATCTACTTTTTCAACAATGTAGGCTATATTTAAATTATTTATTTATTTATTTATGCCAATTGGCTTTATCCATCTATGTTATAATACAATTTGCAGTTATAATATATTAATTAATTGCACACTGAATGAATACAGTAATCTATAGAAATACAATACTTTATCTATCAAATTTAATGTTTTTCATCTTTGATAAAAATGTAGATGTAGAACCTCCAAAAAAATTGATTTCTGAGCAGTACTTATCTACCAGGCTAACTATCCTGTTTTTAGGGCCTCGACATACATAGTTTTTCGACGATTTCACTGCATTCAATAACCTATACGATCTCAAACCTGGTTTTGGGCATATGAATTGGAATTGTTCCAATATCTCTGGGTTAATAATAATATGGTCTGTAATAATATGGTTACATAAATGCAATCTTGCAATAAATATCATGTAATAAATATAAATCCATTTGTTAATACTTATGTTTGTCAAAAAGGTAGTTTTGATAGGTGACAATTTTCAGCCAGTGATGTTCACAATTTTCATAAGTATATCATTTCGTAAATATATCAAACTTTGTAAGTAATATTTTATTCTTGTTTTCTCTTTGAAAGTACAGTAGAACTCCTATTATTTGAAGCCCAATTTCAATGCCCAGTAAATCAACAGGTTTGATTTAAGGACAAAAATTAAAAACAAAATAAGTCAATATTGAAAAAATACATCTATACAACTTAATATTGAATTGCATTTATTTTTATTTTGTTGAACTATCATCATGAAAACACTATTAAACTAAAACCTATATCAATTATAATATAAAACATTTTTTAATATAATTATAATAAATCAATTTGCAGTGGAGTGGGAATTCAGATACAATGCCGTGCAACTACATGATAAAATGTGTCTGGGATCTTGTTGCATTACAGCTTGCAGTTTATTCTTAACAGCAACTCCCTCTTAAAAATGATTTTAACTAAAATAAGATATGTACATACATATTGCAATGTTCATAAATAAATTATAAATAAGAATGTATGTACGTAAGTAATAAACCTTCACATATAATATTTAACTTGTGGATTGGTATGTATAATGTGGTATGTAAATATGGAGTACAGAGGAAGTTATGTAATGCTGAGGAACTTAAATTTCGAGATTTCAACAGATATACATATTTAGGGGGTCTCAGATACCAAATAAGTAATTTTTTTCAAAACGTCCATCTGTCATCTGCAAATAATTCTAGTGCCCAAACTATGCATTCAAGTTTTCCAAACTGAATAAACCCCTGTCAATCTGGCCTCACTCAAAATTCTGAAACACCTCAACTCTGCAATTTTGAAAAACGTTTATTTATTTGGGGGGCTCTTTACTTGAAGCCCCTGGGACTTTTGCAAAATTTTCTCAGAAATGGCTCCAAATTTTTTCTTCAAATTTCTTGAAAGACTAGTGTGAAATACTTATTAATCTGCACATTTCCAGCAATTTGAATACATTATTGCATTTCTGATAGGAAGTGTTTCAAAAGACTTCCAACAAAATATCTTGTGAACTCAGAAATTTTCTGTGTAAAAGGGCTTCCAATTTCGTCTTTACAGTAACATTTTAAAAACATTTTCTTTAAAATGGCTCCAAATTTGCAATGAAAATTTCCATATAGAAGACTTTTACTCTTCTATAATATTCTAAAAGTAATATTTCAATTCTACGATTAGAAAACTGAAAAATTGAAAAATTATTATTATTATCAATAATAATAATAATTAATAATTAATAATAATAATAATAATAATAATAATAATAATAATAATAATAATCGTGGAGTAGCTGGTCTCCTATCGGACGCGTTCCAGGTGGTGGATGGGAGAATGCTCTTACCGCACGCCGGAGGTAAAGTGGGAAATAAAATACCACCCAAGACCACATCCAGACGCTGGCGGCAGCGTGTAAAGGCTAGGGAAGGTGAAACCCCGAAAGAAACCACAATGGAAAGTCCTGCAGGATCACCGTTACGGTGCAGGGGATCGGAGGCCCCAGTACACGTCAGCCGGGGTGGGCAAGCAAAGCCCGAGGTCGTCAACGCACGACTGCAATCTCAGAAAGACGTGGGCCGCTGGTGTCTCTGAATACCTATACTGCGACAAGCGGAAGCCTAGAGAACAGGTTTTACCCCTTTTCTGGAGGTCGAAGCTGCGGAGATCGCCAAAGTACCCAACCACCTCAGAGAATAAAGCACGACTGCGGAACGAGATGGCACGCGAAGGAGAGCACTAGAGCCTGAGACAGGAAAAGGACCGCAGAAGAAAGACTTTCATAACGAGTGTTTTGATGCATATAATGGAAACCATAAACAACTGGAAGAAAGGCAGACAACTATCATGATAGCGCTAAACGAAAACCTCAAGAACGATGGCGGCCGTATATGCTAAAATAACCGTAAGCGTTGAGGAAGCCTATGTCTAAAGCCCGGGCTAACATCGAAGCGGTTAAGATACAGATGGCAAGATGCGCTAGAAAAGAAGACAGAGTTCCCAAGAGGCTATGCAATCCCTAGTAAAACGGGAAGAGATCACTAGTACCCAGGCACGGGCTCAAAGAAATGAGAGAGGAGGCACCCAGCCCACAGAAGAAGTTAGAAGAGGGAAGAAGACAAACAGAAGGCTGTGGCAAGAGTCAACACGAAAACATACAACACGAACAACAGCAGGAACTGGGGTGGAGGGAGATGAAGGATGGCTGAAACCCTCCGGAAACAAAAGACAGAAAGGGCAAGAGAAGAAAAAAGAAAAAGAGAAAAGTGAAGCACACGATAAACGCACAAGAAATAAAACCCTGAACCACCGCATCAAAATACTGGCAAAGAGGGAAAGATATGCTTATTCCTCAACAGAAGATGACACGAGCAGTCGATCCAAAAGACTACAACACAACACGTTAGAAAATAAGAAAAACTCGAAACAGGATCTACTCATTGTCCTGGGGAAAGAAAGGGCATCATACATCATCATTTAAAAATGCACTTGTAAGGGCAATCGGGAGAGTGGCAATAGTTAGAACACTACACACCAAATCACTCGTAGAAATTAGGAGACATTGACGAGACCTGTTTCAGCAAATGACCTATTTAAGACAGGCCAGCAAACATTAAGGGGTTTGCAAGCACACAAACAGCCTTTGTACCTAGCAGATCTAGCCTCAACACTACTGAAAGAATGACTAGAGTAAAATAAAGATAGGATGGGTCAACTGCCAGATGCGCGAGAAGCGACAAGTAACAAATGCTTCAAATCCTAGATTTTGGACACATATTCACCAACTGCCGCGAGCCCTGGCCGTAGAAATTACATGCGCAATTGCGGAAGAAACAGGGCCATCAGATAAAATACTGCAGAAAGACACCCAAATGTGTACATATGCAAGGATAAAAATCTAATGATGGGCCAAGACTAGAAGCAGAAAAATGCTGCTCATTCAACGCCGAAATAAACAAGCCAAAGTAGCGACAAAATAAGGTTCCAACAGATCCATCGAGGCACGCAAAATCGCAATAAGATCTACTTGTACAAGTTGCAACTGAAAAGAAACGTGGACTTGTTTGATTGTTAGCGAATAACGCGACAACTGATAAAAACACGTGGTATCAAGGGTGCTACTGAAGAGCCGGCAATAATAATACATAATAAGACGCTGAAATATCAGAACCAACAAGAAAGGAACAAATACGGGTTTGTATGGCTGGAAAGTGGTATACAGATTTATGGCTGCTACTTCACCGAATGATACGCTAGAAAATTTTCAAGGAAAGATGTCGATGAGCTGGAGGCTAGCTTGAAGACGTCTCAGCGCGAGGTATATAGAGCACGGCGATTTCAACGGTAAGTCGTCCGAATGGGGGGAGACGCGCTCCATAGAAGAGGAACTAATCATATGTGATCATTCATTGCAAGAAACTGATCTGATCAATCTAAACATACGTGGGGATGAAGTAACACCTTTACAACGTGGAGCGCATCTCTATTTTGGATTGAACCAATAAGCTCCACTAAGCTAGCTAAAGGCATCAACTGAATTGGTCAGTGGTTCGACGAAGAAACCTGAGTGACGCAATCGGTACATAGGATATTCGACTCCATTAACGGAGGGGCTGCAACAATGTCAAAACGCGATATAACAGGAAGCCACCTTGGAATGCCCAAAAAACTGAATGAAAGACAGGCAAAACCGCTCCTTGGAGAATCCAGTTTTCCTTTGGTTAACATGGGTTGGACGAAAGAGGCTTGGAGGATATGGCAAGGGCTAAACGCAGGAAATAGTAGTAGCAGCTTGGCGGACGCATCCAATGCCTAGACGTATTGTCCGAAGAGGAAACAGCAAATGTATTGTGGATACCAGGGATACCGACTACGAAGAACTGTAACAAGGCAAGAAGAATAGCGACAAGGGCCAAGACGATCTGCA